GGTAGATCTTCCTCCGCGTCAGCTGATTCTCGAGCGAACGTATACACGGTGTCGCTTGCTCCTACTTCCTCGATAGTGACAAGCGGTGTCGTTATCTCGACTTGCTCTTCCGTGGTGTTGATTACATTCACGGGGCATTCATTCTCTTTTGGCCGCACTAAACAGCATCCTATAAAGACTCCCGGTTCCGTTTCTTCGGAACGTATTACGCCTATTTGATTTTGGTCAGCCACAGCTCTAATTATTGTTTCGCTTCGCGGCTACAATGTTATTTTCTCATATGGGCGTAACCGGAATTCTACTCCTCCGATTTTCACCTGTTTTTTCCCATGATCGCATCTTGCTCTTTGTTTCTCTAAAAATTCAATTCCGAGGATTCCCTCATATTCTATCGGGAAATCATCCTTTACTACATAAATCGTGTAACGTATCTTCTGTTTTCCTATCGGGATCGTCGCTCGGATCTTTCCCAAGGTATGCATTTTATGCTTTGTTACTCCCGTTAAGGCGATTCGCTCTCCTTTCATATGTACCTCATCTTTCAGATTCCCGATCTTCACAAAAGTGAGAGTCGCGCCCGTATCTAACAGAAAGTGCGTGTTGCCCTTCTTGGCCTCTTCCACTGGCAGAGTAATTAGTTTTAGGTTTGTTTGTGGTGGTACTCTCGCACTCACCTGCGCGACACGATGATCGCTCACTGTTCTTTTTATCTTTCCTTTATACTTCCTTTCTTCCTCTTCGCTGCTGTAACTTGATTCTTCAGCGCTATCGCTGTTTCTTTCTTTCTTATTCACTCTGAACGCGGTATTCACGGGTTTTTTAATTAAAGTTTTCTCTATTTGGGCGCCGCGCTTGTTTTTTTCTTTCCCGGGCGTCCGTGCAGTGACCAGCATTCTTCTCGCTTATGTCCTGCTTTTCGGCAATAAGTACAATATTTTTCTATTGTGTGTACACCGGCTGTCTTGTCTGCTCTCGGCAAACTAAATCGGTTTGCGTATCTGCTTGTCCGGCATTCTTGCCTTATATGTCCCGTCTTGCCGCACTTATGGCACTGCAAGCTCGCACTTTGTTCTATCTTCGGTTTACCCTGTTTATTTTTGTATCTATTATTATAGTAATTTGCCTTATTCTGAGGTCTTTTTAATTTCTCTTCCGCAGTAGCTCCCAGAATCGCTTCTTCTAAAGTCGCGTAGTTTCGCGAGCGCACTATAGTTTGCGTTTCCTCACAAAGTCCTAACTGAAATACCTCTAGGGCCATTCCCTGGATAGTCTCCTGTATCGCCTTTTTCTGTTCGATCGTTCTCGCCTTGCCCTCAATTAGGGCCTGAATAGAACTCCACTGATAGCTTTTCCACGGGTGCTCCGTATTTGCGCGCGTTCTCGCCAGGCTTCTGCCTTTGCGTATAAAATTCATTCTGTAAGTGCGACGCGCTTCTTTTTGCCAGGTAGCACGCCTCTATCTTTTGCTTTAGTTGAGCATACGAGCGAATGTCTTTTGTTTGGAAGTCGTACATGGCCTTCCCTGTTAATTTAGTGTCTAATATCGCTCTTAGTAACGCTTTTTCTTTTGCCGGTTCTATTTCCCTCATTGCGTTATCACACGCGTTTAAAAATTCGGGTATTTGTTTTTGCGACGATCCGTCTGTTTTTGGAATTGATCCGCGTGCTTCTTTCAACTTCACATATTCGTCTCCTCCCCTCTCGAAGAACCCGCGCTGATTTCGCACATCCTCGCTAGTACGCTCGTACGTCAAGTCGAGCGTGTCATTGTCCGGCGGGTGTCGCGTTTTGTTGCGGTTCTCATTTCGTGCGCCTTCTGGTCGACACGATAGTTTAACGCTTGTATTGCTGCTAGTAAATCGCTTAACAGCGCGTCGCGGCTAGTCCTTGGCTGTTCTGTTGCACTTGGCGGGGCTATCATCTCCCGAAGCTGAATTATCTCAACGTCGATATTGTCGCTGGTCGGCTGTCTCTCGGTTTCTTGTTCGACCGGTGTTTTCGGTGGCCGACGCGACATGTCTAATTGTGAGCAGTGTAAAACTCTTCTGGATCAAATACGCTACTATCGTACGAGGTCAAGGAGAACTCCCGCCAGTGCGTGAGCCTGCTCACCGCACTGTCTGATAATATGGAGGGTACGTTCTGTGGGTGTAATCTGTTCGTGTCCGGTCCGTTTGTCCGTATTAAACTTGCATCTATGTCATTGAATGAGAATTCGCAGTTTATCACGAGATTTGGATGGAGCTCGGGTTCGCTTTCCGACGAGCTCGAGTCGGAGTAATAAGTTTCTAAATTCCTGCGCACGCTTTCCCTAATGTCCTGTACCGTTTCTTCTATTACTCTCGCGGGGCTTACCGAGGTCGGTGTAAACACACGACGTGCTGATTCGCTATGTAACCAGAACGTATTTTGGTCGTGACGCTCCCTATTTGAACCTTTCGACATTTACTATTCTAGTTTTTACAAATCTTGCTTAATTCATATACGGACTTACATTACAATCGCTAAACGCATGTTGTCCGCTGGCCGCTGTGATTGTGGTGCCTGTGGCAGAGTCGTTGTGGTAGGTCGCTGCCGTCTCGGGTTTCATTCACTATCGGCGCCTCGTTCGTGGCTGCTACCGGTTGACTCGTGCTTGCTGCGCTCGGCTTAGCCTTGGCTGCTTCTCGCTAGCTCGATCTTTGCCGTACTTTAATTGCACTTGTTTGTTACAGGCTACCAGGGGTTGGCTGGAGCTTCCTGTTCCTCCCGGATGCGGATCCCACCGCTGCCACCAATAATGTTGTGCCGCTAGCACAACAGGGTCCGACTCCGCGGGGGAACTGAATAACTTTGACGCCTTTGATCACTTTTTCGAAAATACACTTTATTTGCCCTTAGATCCAGTCTCAGTTTATTTTACAATATCCCGCTTCTTCTTATTCGATACTCGCCGATACGGCACTTCACTATTCGTGGCGAACCTGGTAACGTGACACGAACTTATCTTTCGACAGATTAACCCCCCGCGCCTTGTCGTCGCGCGTACTTATAGCAATCGCGTTGCCGTGTCAGCGTTATACTTTTCGGTTGCCGCGAGGTCGCCGTCGCGCAACCATCCTTATTAGTTATTTTTATTTTTACGTAATATATATCTTTCCGGAACGCTTCATCGGCGTTCCCGATTTAATTTAGGTCGTGTCGTATTTCTTAACCACTGTCGCATTCGTGTCACGGTAATCGGCCCGTGACACTCTTCCCCCCCCAAAGAAAAGGAAATGAGGGGTGCATTTTCTTTATTTTTATGCTTTTTTACAGCCATTTCTTATTATCTACTTGTTTGTTCTCTCTATCTAGTCTATTTGTTTAGTACAACATCGCGTCATTGTTCGAGTATGGGTCCTCGCGGGTACCCCTTGTTGCCTTTCTCTTGCATTTCTTATTTATGTAGATGATTACACATATTACGCTTATAATTACTACAGTGGTTGCGCCGCCGCTTGCGGCGTGCAGTGCGTACCTATTCATGACTATCGTATCCTGGTTCTCTAATTGTCTATTTATTTCGTCTAGTTCTGCGCTTAATTTTTCGAGCTCGGTACGGATTTTTTACAATTGTTTTTTCTATTTATTAACGCTTTCTTATTTCTATCGCTGTCTGTTAATTCCCCTCCCCTTTTTTTCATTTTTTCTCTTGCTCTATGGCTAATTCTCCACAAAATGTTTAAGGCGATTCGCGTATACGCGTAAGGTTCTCTGTCCCCTTTTTATTGTGAAATTTACTTCGTTATGTTTCTCCACTATCGTGTAAGGCCCTGCCCATTGGGATTCTAATTTCTTTGAGCGTCCCCTTCTCAAGGCCTCATTGTAAAGCAGGACTTTGTCTCCTATCTCGAAGATTTCCCTTTTTACACTTTTATCATATTGTTTCTTGGCTTGTTGTTTCACTTGTTGCGCGTTTTCCTTCGCAATTTGATTCGCGGCGCGTAATCTTTCTCATAATTCCTGCGCATAATCATCGTACGAATACGTTTGTTTCGGCGGTTTC